GCTAGAATTCAGTGGGGCTGCTTTGTTTTTCTGGGTCTGGGTCTGGTTTTCCACCTTTGACAGGGTGCAGCCTTATCACTTTTCTGTTTTTTATTCATGGAAAATATTTGAGTTTTCCCTTTCTAACAGGATTCTGCCTTACACAAGTTCTAGCTTTCACAGGTTTTACTATACTCTGTACAACATAAACAATTTGAACAATATTCTTTATTAATTCTAATTTGAGTTCCCAGAAGTCATGTTTAATGTTCTCTGCCCATTAATAAATTACAATTAAAATGCCCATTTACTGAGCACTGTGAAGGCCTCAATGAACTGAAAAATAGTTCTTAAGGAGTCTAATGTAAATCCAGGTGCTGTATATATGCCCAAGTCTACCCAGCTGCAGTATGGATGATTCAAGGGCCCTTACATGAGCCTTAGTCAAACCTCAAAAGAAATCAACATGAGGCTACAGGTGATTCACACTTAAGTATACACCCAGGTTTATTAAAAAAGAAAAAAAAAAAAAAGCGCTTTCCAGACTCAAAAAGTTTGCGTGCCAGTGCCTTTTGTGGAAGAAAGGAAAAATAAACATTCTTCCAATTCTACATATTTACTTCTCTTTACCAAAAAGAGTAGTGGAATACACTGACATGGTGACACACATTAGAAATTTGAGCAACTTTTGATGAAAGATGTAGGAAAACAATGCTGGTATTTTGTAAAATCATGATGCCTTGGGAAAATTTATAGAGCTTAAGACATCCTCACTTTCCTCTAAGGAAGTTAAAAGACGACGACTAACTTTGCATACATGCATCCTAAAAACACTGTAGGCATCTTTCTACAATTCTTAGCTCAAAGAATTAAACATTTATTGATTTTAATTTATCCACTGCCTTTTGTTACAAGGAAGTATAGTATAATAATTAAAGGCAAGAACCTAGAGTCAGCTACCTGGATTCAAATTCTGATTCTAATTGTAATGTGACTATGTAAAGTCTCTTTGAGCTTCAACTTTCTCATGTGTAAAATGGAGAGGATATAGTTGGAACATATGATTAGCACTCATTAATGTTAACTATTATTACTTCCTCTATCACTGTGTTTCTTACTCAGGTTTTAACTAAAGTTCCAAACAGGCAATAATATTCATACATAATACTGGTAATCTTAAGTAGTACTTACTACGTACCACGTCCACCACTCCTCTGTCAGTTTCTCATACTCTAGTGGCTTATCTGTTGCCATGATGCTGGAAGTTATGCAATGGGTATTTCAAATACCAGCAGGGTCACACATGGTGGACAGGTTTCAACAGAGCTTCCAGACAAAGACAAACTACATAGAAAAGCCTAGATATCTTCATCTGAAAATTAGCCAATGAAAACCCTATCAATCACAAGAATGTCTTGTCCAATATCATGCTAGATGAGCCCTCTGGATGGAAACTACTCAAAATACACTGTGGCCACAATGTACTTGAGCCTATCAACAACTGTGAAGATGGCAAAGGACTGAGAAACATTTCCTTCTTTTTCACATGGGGTAGCCATGAGTTGGAGCTGACTGGACAGCAACTGACACCAATAACATGTCCCAGGTATTCTTCTAGGTAGTTTACAAATTGTAACTCACATAATTCTAACAACTGGCTTTTGAGGTAGGCATTATTTTCCAGATGAAAATGCTGAGGTGGAGAGATTAAGTTACCTCCCAAGATCACAACTAACAAATGGCAGGCAGAACTCAGTCCATGCCCTTAATCCCTACTCTTGATGCTTTTTGAAGAAAGCAGTTTCAAAAAATCTCTTAACATTGTAATTTATATAAAAGAGAACTCTATACATATTATAAATTCAGTGAATATATATTGTATATAGGTAACATTTTACCTGCAACCAAAAAGAATGAGACAAAAAAAATAAAACAACAACAACAAAAAACCAGATAAACCACAAGTAACTTTTCCCACAACTAATGTTTTAGGAAACCACAGAAAGAAATAAGTTCTGTCTTCCAATTTTTTTTATATCTTAGGTCACCTAGGCCATCACTTCACAACTGTTTATTGACTAGAACCACTAGTGAGCAGCCTCACTTCCACAGCCCATGGGAAATCCCACCTCTATCTGCCATACACAGCCAACAACTGTGAACAACGGCTACGATACAGCACTGGTCAGTATTCAATCCCAACTCCAAAACTCTAGTATAGCATCAGATGTCTCCGGTGGGAGCACGTAACTCCATAAAAGAAGTCATCCTCCAAGCCCCATCTTTAGAAATATCACTGACTTCAAATAGGTTGATGATGTTAAGGGCCAGAAGACTGGTTAATTGGTGAACTAACTAAACTAGTTAATGAAATAAAACTTTTATCAATGACTATAAAACTGTTCCATGGCAACTGTAATCCTGCCCTGAGGCCTAAAAGTAAAAACAACTATAAACACTTTTCTTAAGATTAACACTTGTTCTTAAAGAATAACTTTAGATAGAGTACCACAAACAAATAATGGCTAGAAATATTCACTTGAAATTTGGATAAAGTAAAACCACAGGTAAATGCATTTTACCCTTTTCCTTTGTAGCTTTTTTCATGCTTACGTTTAAAAACACTACAATATGTTTCAAAACAGTTGTAACATTCATCAACTGCCATAGACCTAATTATTACAACAAATGGGATATTTACCAGAGAGAGTGATTGAATATTCTCATAAGTCTTTTCAGATTCTAAATTATGTTTCAACTCCATAAACTTGCTGATTTTGCATTTATACACACGTGGCAAACAATAACCAAAAACCAAACCCACTGCTATCAAGTTGTTTCTGACTCATAGCAACCTTTCAGGACTGAGTAGAACTGCCCCTCAGGGCTTCCAAGGCTGTAAATCTTCATGGGAAGCAAAATGTCCTATCTTTCTCCCACGGAGTGGCTGGTGAGTTCAAACATCTGACATTTTAGTTAGCAGCCAAGTGCTTTAACCATTGTGCCACTAGGGCTCCTTGAGGTAAACAGTATTTCTTTAATCCAGCCACAAGAAAATTGTGATTTACTTATCAGGAAAACTGAAATTTGTACAATGAGGTACTAGGACATTCTTATCAGAAGGACTGAAATGAAAAAGATTGATAATACCAAGGCTTGGCAAGGATGTGAAGCAACTGAAATTAACATACACTGCCTGTGGGAGTGCAAATTGGAGCAATCACTTGGGAAGACTGGCAGTATTTATTTAAGCCGAACATATGCATACCAAACAAACACATTTAAGCCCAAACAACATGAAGTGTGGGGGAGAGGTAGTGAGGAATAGAGGCCCAGGGAGAGTGCTACAAAGAGCACATAGAGCTAATGAGAGTCAACAGAGAGCAAGCTGTACTGCCCCTGACAAAAATAAGGCCCAAAAGATCATAAAGGATTGATAGAAGACCCTCTGTCCAAAGCAAAAGAGGCAGGGTGGCACCAAAGGCCATAGTGAAGGTCACATGAAGCAACAGGGAAAAATGGCATCCAAAAGAAACCAGAACTACTGACTACTCACTAGTGGTTGACAGCACTTCAGTTGACAACTGTGATGGTTATGTTTGTGTGTCAACTTGGCTAGGCCTGGTTGAGTGGCTGGGCAACTGGATGTAGTATTTCCAATGGTGAGAGTGGTAATCAACTCCATGGCGGAATCTACTGGGAGCAGCTGAGTAGCTGCCTTTGGGATATGGTCTGCTTCCTGTATATAAGGAGAAGCTTTAAGAATGGTCTCTAGCCTATGGCACGCCTGGACCCTGCATGTAGCCGTGTCGTTGCTCAGCAGCCTGCTATGCTCTGCCGACCTTGGGACTTACACAATGGACTTTGGACTGTGCATTTTTACTTGTCATCTTGGGGTTTCTCAGCCTCAGCAGCCAGCAGCTGTCTGAGTGAAGAAAAGCCTCTAGCTCCAGTGGGCCAGGAACAGGAGGCAGAGCTGGACCCCAAGGTTGAGGGGCTTTTACTCAGCCCCTAGAGCCTGGCACTTTGAACTTGGACTTAAAGCCTCCAAATTGTAAGAATAAACTCCTGTTTGTTAAGGCCATCCCATTTGTGGTATATTTCTTGTCAGAGCGGCACTAGGTAACCAGAACAACAACCAACATTTTAGAGAGTGAACTGTTACAGATAAGAGATTATTCTTGACAGCATTGGCCAGAAACTGGTCAGAGCTCAGCTAAGAAAGCAGGTTCTGCCCTGTACTCTCTTCCTTGTTTTGCTTCTCCATTGAGAGGTGTTAGATGAAGCTGCGTGCTCACCTGAACCTGGCAAGGCTTTAGTCCTGACACTCAACCCTCAGAGGTCTGGTTGCCTGCCTTCTTCTTCTGTTAATTGAAGGCCTTTCTGTTACATATAGAAGAGTGTTTTCATGTCAGGGAGCCTGACACTGCCTGTTTAGCCTAGGGGATAGCTCCAGATTGCTGGCCAGGAGTACACCACATGTTACTGAAATGAAGGCTACCTCTCCAAAGGCAGCAATAGTTTAAATCGTGTCTCAAAGATGTAGCATGGTCTATTCAACTTTAGTAGCTTCAACCATTTCAAGACCAAGAGCAATTTTCTCTTTTTCAATCTGAGCCCAAAACAGGGAGAAGAAGAAAACTCAAGCTAGAGAAACACCATCATCTCAACTTCATAGTTGGCAATATAATCACCCCCCAACGCCTTTCTCCCCCCCAAAAAAACTCTAAACATGTCTTCTGGAGTTCATTCAGTTATGAAGAAATCATTTGTAATGGATTTTACAGTTGTCTTTCCCCCACTTGCCAAAAAAGAGTGTGATTATTATTCTGTCTCAATTAAAACATTTTAATTATGACATTAAACTGCATAATTTTCACTTGAAGGAAATGTAAGTATAATAATACTATATAAATCTCAAGGATGAGGGTAAAAAAAATCAACTTAAAAGACTACAAACAGAAAAAACTAAATTCAATTTAAAAAGCATCTCAAAACCATGAATTTAAGAGCTGCCTTACCTGACGAACAAAACTATTTGAGGTAGTGTCAGATGAAGTGCTCCCGTCCGATCCTTTAAATCTGTTTTTCCTTCTAGCTCCTTTTCCATATGACTACAAAAAAAAAAATAAAGGAAAAAATAAAGACAAATGAGATTATTATTAGACTCTCTCGCAGGAATCTAGCTTAGATAATACGCCAAAAATCAAAACAATGAATAAATTTCCATCGCATGGGCATCATTAGAAAGTTATTATTCGGATTACAAAAAAATTTATTTCAAACTAGAAAATATGCAGGGAAGAGAGGTTTCTACACAAAGAAATTACTAACTGATGAATTAAAACAATTTATGGTATTTGTAAATATGTTAGCAGCCATGAGGCAAAAGCCACTAAAAATCAAGCATTTCAAAATAAGCATTTAAGCATGGAAAGTTAAAGCAAGGTGAATTGTTTTACTAATAAGAGTAGGCTAAGCACAAACATTGACAGACTTGCTTTTTGTATTATACTACAGTTTACATTAAAAGGACTAAGAATAAACTCTATGAATCTCTGTTTAAGTCCAGACACAGATAAAGTTATTGCAAATATTCAATATTAAAATACAAGTGACAAATAGCTCAATACTGATCTCTGGAGATAAATATACAGTTTGGAATCTTGATGCTAGCAGGCCATGAGCAAATTTCTTAACCTCTCCAAGTATCAGTCTTTTTGGCTTTAAAGGGGGGATATTATACTTCACAGTGTTGTTGCAAGTATTACATGAAAGTATATATCAAAAGCATTTAGTATAAAACTTAGCACATGGTAAGGGCTCAGAAAGGCCATATAAAAATATTATAATCACATTAGGCTTGGAAGAGTGGGGATAAATTGGGCTAAAGTGTACAATATGTTCAGAATTATTAGATTCAGAGAGATTTCATTATAGAATTTATAAAATTTATTTTTTGAAAGTAACCACATTCGGGTTTTGAAAATGCTACTTGGTTATGTTTTATATATTCACATGGTTTTCATTAAAATGGAAATATCTTATAAACTGTAATATACATAGCACTTGGGCAAGTGAAAAAATCTAGTACAAACATTTGTGTTATGAGTAATTTAGAGGACTTTGCAATCAGTAAGAGAATGATATAATCTTAAAGCAAAAACAAAAAATCTTAAATAAGTTTGTTCTCTTCCAAGTATCTAGGGGATTTATATAATGCAAATGTGTTTCCATGGCATTTAATTAACTCTCAACTTCAGAAAAGGAAAGATTATCTGGGCTGCACTTTCATAATGTTACATACAAGGTTCTCCTCACTTAACAGCTTATTCTTCTTACTTACGTAAACATTATTCAGTACACTCTTGAAAAATAACATCCTTTCAACAATTTTGTATCTTTTCCAATTATTTAAAGGTTTGGACAGAAGAAGTTTCTTCCAAGGCTCAAAAGAGCTAAAATAAAGTATAAAATTTTTTTTAAAGTATAAAAATTTTACATGATTCCATATGAAAAAATACTTATTACCTTGAAAGCAGTTTTGAGGCCCATTATTGTCCCTTGAGGGGGGCAAACTATGTCAAATGCTTTACTTATCTTCAAGAAAAGTATACATTATCTTTGAGAAAAGAGATAAGGTAAGTCATCTCATCACCCATGTGTTATTCCAGTACGTTTTGAAATAGGTGGAGAAGAGTGTCTTTGAAATTCTATCATTGTAATTGGTTTCAGCTTTTTTTTTTACAATTCAGTTGCTTTGCTGTATATTTTGTTTCCTAACTGCTCACAATTGCACACATGGGCCCTGTGACAGCTATATAATGTTTAAAACATTTATTCCCATATCAAGTCATAGCCCTCGGCAGGAAGTTAAAACCCAATCCTATAGAGTTGATTCTGACTCAGTGACTTCATGCACAGTTAGAGTAGAACTGTGCTCCACAGGGTTTTTGATGCCTGGGAGTCACAAACGATTTGTCCTCAACTACTAACAGGAAGATTGGCAGTTAGAACCCACCTAGCAGTGACGAGGTCTGGCAATCTACTTCTGTCCTGATTATAGGCAAGAAAACTCTACACAACACACACACACAAAAAAAAAACACGGGGTCACCATGAGTTGGAATCCATTCAACAGCAGTGGGGTTGAATTTTTGTTCATCTGTTTAATCTTATGAAAGTAGATTGTATTTCTTCCACAGCACCACTGGGTGGATTCAAACCACCAATCTTTCGTTTAGTAACTGAGTGCAAACCAAGTCTCATCAACTTTTTCAAGTCCCTGGGAACGCGGTACATTAAAATTTTACTTCAGGTATACTTAGCAATACCCATTCAACTTACAGATGACACAGAACTATTACAGTTTTCAACTGTACTGCGACACAGTTTGCACACTAAGAATCCATGGCACAACAAATGATGTGGAAAGTGTTGGTTGTTTTGAGGAAAATATTGTCCTTCAGCCAGTTAAATTTATGAGGGGTAGTTTGTTGAAAGTTAACTTGTTCTTGCCTTAATAGTGTCATGTTGTTGTCGTTATGTGCTGTGGAGTCGGCCCCAACTCACAGCGACCCCTCCTTGGGTTGCTAAGGCAGTATCACTATGGAAGTAGAGTGCCCAACCTTTCTTTCGAGGAGTGGCTGGTGGTTTTGAACCGCCGGCCTTCTGGTTAGCAGTCAAGTGCCTTAAGCACTATGCTACCAGACAGCAAACCCCTATTCATCTTGAATCATTTTTATTAACAACCAAAATAGATATGCTTAAGTATACCTCTATTCTGCTATTTTACTAATTTCAGTAATAATTTATCTTCTATACCCATTCTTTTTTATTTTATTTTTTTAAGGTGTAGACAGACTACTCAAGGACTACGTTTTTATAACAATATCCTGGACCCACAAAAAAAATTAAGTTAAAAACTTTATCTTTTGGAATCTAATAGCTTATTTTTCTGTACTTTAAAAAATGTTAGTGAAAAGTTATACTATCATTATAAAATTAAGTTTCCTTTAATTCAATGCATATTTAAAATTTAATCCATTTTTCAGTACTAGCTTGTTATTTTAATTACTGTATATCCTTGAAAGTAAAGACTAGAGTATTTCATTTGAAATGGAAAAATAAGCAAAGGCCAAACATCCCATTTTGATTCTCTAAGGAGCTCTGGTAGCGTAATGCCTAAGGCACCTGACTATTAACCAGAAGGCTGGCAGTTCAAACCCACCAGCCACTCCTCGGAAGGAAGATGGGGCAATCTACCTCTGTAGTGATACTGCCTCAGAAACCCAAGGAGGGGTGGCTATGAGTCAGGTTCGACTCAATGGCATCTAACAGCAACAACACCACCACTGCTGCTCTAGCAGAAAATGCCACAAATGGGTGGCCTGAACAAAAAGGGATTTATTCTTACAGTTTAGGAGGCTAGAAGTCCAGTTCAAAGTGCCAGCTCTAGGGGCTGGGTAAAAGCCCCTCAAAGTTAGGCTTTTGCCTCTTGCTCCTGGCCCACTGGAACTGGAGGCATCTTTTAACTCAGGCAGTTGCTGGCTGTTGAGGCTGACAAACCCAGGGTCAACAAGTAAAATAGCACAGTCCCAAGATTATCAAGCAACATGGCAGGCCACAAGTTCAAGTCCAGAAAGAGTCCCAAGATGAGCAGACAACACAGCAGGCCATTCACTGATGACTCGACCATATGCAGTATCTAAATGTAAATGTACCAAGCAGCTTAAGACCTTTCTCAATGTCTTCTAATACACTGGAAGCAGACCACATCCCTAAGGCAGCTGCTCACAGTGGATTTCACCATGGAGTTGATTACTAGTCTCATCATGGGGAATAACTACATCCAGCTGCCCAGCCACTCAAAACCAGGCCCAGCCAAGTTGACACATATGCTTAACTACCACATCTCCTAATTGAAAATAGACAGGTAAAATAAAATATTCAAATAAGTTGACTAAATTTGGAAAAGAATAATTTGCTTAGTTAACTTCAGATGTAGCTACTATGATGCTCAATGGTTTTTCTGAGTTTTTTTTTTTTTGGCAACAATGCCCTTTTTTCCGATATATGAAACAGATAACAATCAAGCAGCCTAGGGTGTAGGAAGGCAAAGAGAGGGAAGAAATGGTGTTCAGCTTGGTCAGAATGCAAAGTGTTAGTGTAAGATTCTCCCTGACACACACAGAGCCCTAGTCGTCCTTAGAACACAGTCAAAAAAAAGTCACTAATTTCCATTTATTGCCTATCAGCTATATGAAAGAAGAAGCCCGGGGGGCACAATGGTTAAGCACTTGGCAGCTAACTGAAAGGCTACCTGTCTGCTTCACAGGAGAAAGACCTGGAGCTCTGTTCCTGTGAAGATCACAGTCAAGAAAATTCTATGGGGCAGTTCTACTCTGTCACATGGGGTCACTATAAGGTCACTATCACAGGGTACAAAGGAGAAAGCTAAGGACAAACCTTGCCTCCTGCACAATTTACCTCCAGCTAGACTTGGAAAGAACTCTAAGCCAGGCCCAGTCCTTGTAAGTGGTATAATAGTTAATTTCATATCCCTGTAATTGTGAAAGTTAGGTTTATGCCAGGTACTACTTGCAGGATGTAGAGGCATCCCATAACAAAATTAAAGATGCCAACATCCTCCTACAAGGTTTAATATATTTTGTTCATCTTTTCTTTAAAGGGCCAACTATATACAGTTCAAGGGAATTAAATACAGCAATTAAAAAGAAAAAAAAAAAAAAAAACCTCACTGCTGTCGAGTCGGAGCCAACTCATAATGACCCCTCCTTGGATTTCCAAGGCAGTATCACTATGGAAGTAGATTACCCAATCTTCCTTCCGAGGAGTTTGAACTGCCAGCCTTCCAGTTAGCAGTCAAATGCCGTAGGCACTACACCACCAGCGCTCACTCCCAAATACAGCAATAGATAAATGAAATCTTTCCATGAAAATAAACAAAAAGTATGAAAAGATACATAAAACTACATGACTAATTAGATCTCAAATCACTCATCTAGTCAGATATAATACTATGAACTTTAATAAAACACACCCAGAAATTGATAGGCATGTTTTTAAAATTCTCCCATGCCCAATCAAGGAATAGAAAACAGTGAAAATACCAGAACAAAAATACCATTCAGGAGCAAAGTGATGGTGGTTAGGTTTTTACAAAACAAAAAATACAGGACCTGTGACCACTATGTTTGAAGACAGCACAAGACAACTTGTAACACAGACATAACATTTCTGGAAAACAGTGTTAACTTGATCAAGAGCCACGGGAAAACTGCTGCTGCTCTTTCTAGATAAAGCTCCTTGCTACAGCAATTCAGATGTTGCCATTATCAGGCTGTTATTACTATACCGTGCTTAAAAAGCATCTGGCAAACTCAGCTGGGGAGGAACCAACTGGGCTCTGTTGCTAGGAGCAAAACAAACAAGCCCTCTGGTTATTTTCAGGTATGACTGGAGGTGCCAGGTTACAATCTCTTTGCAGCCTAAATTGCTGAGATACTGCTCTTCTTTCTCATTCATTTCCTCTTCTGTCCCCACTTTATTCTCAGTCCCTTTCACCTGCTTCCCATCTACCTCGCCTTCATTCAGTATCCATTCAACTACTCTGTGAACTATTAGGGCTACAATTTAGAACTGGGCTGTCTAATAGAAAAATGAGGAAAGCCACATACAAAAAATGTTCTATAGCCATATAATACAGGTAAAAAAGCAACAGGTGAAATTAATTGTATATATTTTATTTAAGTGCATATATCATCGCAACATGTAATCAATATAAAAATTATTAATGAAACATCACATATTCTTTTTCAAACTAAGTTTTTGAAATCAGGTGTATATTTTATATTTATAGTCCATATCAAATTGGACTAGCCATATTTCAAGTATTCTATAACCCCATGTGGCAAGAGCTACTATACTTGGCAGGACAGATTTAGAGCTTTGGGTAGAGACTCCTAGTTTTGTACTTTTCTTGGGAGATAGACTGTGTCTGAAGTTGCAATAAAACTATCATTCAACGGGTTACCTAAAAAGCAATGCAATTTGCTCAAGTCAGAACTTCCCTGAATTTGCACTTAGATTGTTCCTTACTTTCATGTAAAAAATATTCCATGTTCTTTAGTACAGTGTGCTGGAGGGAAAGGCTGAAATGCATGAAGAAATCCCACTCCTAGGTGTCCAGGAGTATTGATAGAAAAAAGAAAATGGGTAGAGTCTGCAAATCTGCATGTTTTGCTCTGTTCAAACAAAATCTGCAATATAATCCAGAGACAAAAGAGAAAGGATTCTTAAATCAATATCTGTTTAGAGGTTCCATTTGTAAATGAAAATTTCATTTCCCAGTGGAATTACTATTACTCAGAGCCACAGAAAAAGGGGGTCCCTCCTCCTTTTTTTCCCCAAGCAGTTTCACTGATAGCCTGTTTTGCCCAGACAGATGAATTACATGGCTTTGCCAAGTTTCCCACAGCTCTATAATGTTAGGACTTATTAGATATAAAATGAATAAGACAATGTCCCTCTTGAACAACAGATGTGATATAAACACAATTCAAGTCAAATTGTTTTCATTTTTGAAAAGTAGAAAAAACAAAGAGATGAATGGTGATGCAGTTGAATATTTATACTTATCTCCTTACAAAATCCAATCCTTTTCGTCTCCTTCCAATTCCTATGGATTGAGTCTCTGAAATGTCTCATGCATAGAGCACTGGTGGTATTCATTATACCTACTTCTCATTTACTGGCCATTTCGTTATCTGATGTTTTGTATTTATAACAATAGTAAAAAAAAAAAAATCTACTATCCAACTATTTCATGCATTAACAACATACATCTAGCACTAACAAATGCTGAGGTGTGAGGTGAGAGTAACACTGGCCGTGATGGTTAAGGTTAATCATCAGCTTGGTTGGGCCATGCTTCTCAGGCGTTTGGCAGCAAGGTAATAATGAAATCAGGCAGTTATGTAATGTTGTAGTCATCCTTCATTTTGTTATCTGATGTGGTCATTGTCCATTTTTGCATAACATCAATTTTCACGTAATGACCTGTTCTTTGGAACCTAACTATGTCAAGAAGTGAGAAGCGGATATATTAGTTTAGGCCTTATTATCTCGCTTGCCCATCCAAACTGTTATATCAACCTTCCCTCTGGCAGCTCCAGCTCTGTACTCCAGAGGCTCTGAGCTACCTTACAGAAATACGCAAGGGAATCTTCTGAATGACGGCTTGTGTGGCTCCATTGTTGAATACTATTGAATATGCTTGAACATGGTTGTCTGCTGTTAAGAAGGCTGCTCTTGTTGTCAGTTGCCATGAGTCAATTATAACTCAAGGTGACCCCATGTGTGCAGAGTAGAGCTGCTCCATAAGGTTTTCAAGGCTGGGACTTTCAGAAACATGTCTCCAATCCCGTTTTCTGAGGTGCCTCCGGATGAGTGTTGAACCATCAACCTCTCCACTAGCAGTCAAACACGTAACGAATTGAGCCACCCAAGCACTCCTGTTAATACTACAAATTCTAAAGCCTCCATGACGTGGCCTCAAATTGCCTTGTCAGTCTTATTCCTAACTGTGCCCAATCCCTATCTTCCTCTCTTTTCAAACTAGAGATTGTAACTGTTTGCTATGAAGTTTCTAATTTCTGTGGCTTTGCTTTATGTGTGGCCCCTCAATACCTCTAAAAACCACTCTCCAATTCTGACCTCTCCTTCAAATCTCTTCTCAAATGCCAGCTCTTCCATGAAGTCCTAACATATCACTCCAAACAGAATACGCCTAATCCTTTGAAACGATTTAACATTCTGCACTTCTCTTAAAGTCCCATGTCATACAATTGTTCCACATTTTTCATATTTGCAGCTACTGGAGCACAAGGTTTTTGAAGGCAGAAATTGTATTTTCTCACATTTGAATAATTTCACATTGCAGCTGCCCAATTTTGTGTTAGTTATTAATTAATACACAATTAATAACGTGATGACTTACGTTTAATTACATAAATCACTAAATAAATCAGTATCTCCTATCTGAACGTAGTCATGCCTTATATTATCCCTAACTATGGCCTCCAGGAATTCAATTGTTATGACCAAAATAAAAGCTTTAAAAATCTCACAAGGAAGATAAAGAAAGAAGGTCTAAAAGATCTTTCCTCTGTCAATATTCAAGATTTTCATCCTGGAATAACTAAGATTTCTGAACACATGTTTCATTCTCATCTTACCTGGCAAGCATCTAGAGAAAAATCAGAAGTCTAGAACAAATGTGGAATGTTTTGGTAAGAATTCAGATCCTCTGGCAGAGCTAGATATGGAAATGCAGGTGGTTAGTTAACTGTCCCCACTCTGCTGGTGAAGCTAAACAGCCCAAGGCAAACAAAATCTAGCTGGTTTACCCAGATGAAAAAAAAAAGGGGGGGGGGATTTCTAAACACAAGTTCTTGGTTTCTGCATTCTTTCCCCATCTCAAATCAAGGTGGATTATATGTTTCAAGTTAGCATGTTAATTTCCCAGTAGTAAAAGGAAGTTTAATAAAGCTTGGCTATTATGCCACTGGAGTCACCCTAATTACAGTTATCAAAATATCCACAGTAGTCCATTTCCACTACCTATCTCCCCCCCAAAAAAAAAACCACCACCAAAAGAAACAAAACAAACACTTGTAAATTTTATTACGTTTTCTCACCCTTGCCCCTGTTACCATATTAAATGATATTCTTACATGCTCACTCTCTAGTGATCTTTCCACAATTTACAATCTGGCAAATGGAGGCTTGAAACTAACAAACTAAGATCGTTAAGAAGAGACATCTCTCCAAACAGATAACTGAAAATATAACCCTGACCTCTTCACATTACTCGCCATTTAGCCCACCTCTAGTTGCGTTTAGTTAAGTCATTTCCCTGCTGGGATAAAAGTTCAGGAACTCATTACGTGGCGACCTGAAGGTGTCTGTAATCCATTCTGTATCTGCCAAAGCTTTACATAAAAGCTACCTTACATTGCCCAAAGCCTACAAATGACATCTCCTATTTCACAAAGAGCAGCGAACCTGATTCCACCCCCCCCCCCAAAAAAAAACAGCGAATACTCATTAGAGACAAAGGCAGTGCTGGACCGTGAAATGGCTAACATTTCAGGAATAAAAAGAAAAACAAAAACTTTCTCCTCGTCAACTTGCTCTTGTTTTAAGAAAAGAGAACGAAGGGTCCACGCAAACCTCGACAAGTGCCCTGAAGGTATAGGAGTGTTTAAGGAGAGCTGTCCGGGTGGCGAATCTAAAGTCCCAGGTGCGGAAGGAAGGTGGTCTGGCTTTTCCGGAGCTAGGGGCAGAGAGCCCCCACCCACCTACCCTGTACAACTTTACTCCATCACCCCTCCCTTCAAAAAACAAACACACACACAAACCCTAAATCAATCCCCTCTCCTCCCACCCGGGCTCAGAGCTTGTCCAGAAATGTCCGCGTTGCAGAAAAAGCTGCGTGAGCGGAGCCCCCTCCCGCCTACCCGGACTCACGATCTTGAGCAGGTCCAGTCCACTCTCCTGGTTCATGTCTCTCCATGTGCCTCTCCCGGGAAGGGGCGAGGAGAGCTGACCAGAACAGCCAGGGAGAAGCCTCTGAAGACCGGGAGGTCTCCCCCGCTCTTTCCCACTTGCTTTTCGGGAGCAGCGAAAATGGAATCCGGAGAAGAGCCAAAGAAAGGCGAAAAAGGGCAGGGTCACTGGCGCCACGAGAGAAGTGTGTGGCAAACCATGAGGGAAAGAGGTGGCGGAGGAGACCCGGCAGGAGAGCGCTTCAAGTCTAGAGATCCTAGAAGAGCTCTGGGAGAGATGGAGGTCAGCACCCGAGCAGCTCACAAAGAAAGGAGAAAGCGTCGCGCTCACGCTACCTGTGCCGCTGCTCCTGGCGCCCCCGCGGGGGCTGCGTTATCCAGCAGTTCCATCTGGATCTCCTGCGCCACCGGCACTGCCGCCGCCGCTGTGGGAGGCGACTTGGACATGTCGCTTTGGACCATTGGCGAAAAGTCGGCTCAAAGAAAGCAACCAGCCCCTCTCAGAGGTTCTGTTCCTCCTCCTCGCCCCCTACACCCCCCTTCCGCACCGGGTGCAGCCCGGGGGCTCGGCCCGGGCACGCCGCGCAACGCTGCGCAGCGCCCCGCAGCGCCCCGGTGCTCCGCTCTGCGCTCTCTAGCTCTCAGAGCGCCGGACAGGGCTGTGCCATTTTGAAAAGCGAAAGGCTGGAGACCCCGGAGGCGCCGAGACGAGGTTGAGTAGCCAGTGAAGGGGTCTCCGCCCGCTTTGCAGTGGTGGCCAGGGGCCTCGCCAGCGCCGTTGCAGTCGGAGTGAGCGCTGAGCAGCGGCGGCTGAGCGCAGCGGCAGAAACAGGAGCTGCCGACGCTGGGAAGGTCCTCGCCTAGAGGGAGGGAGCTTGGGGAGCGCGAGCTCAGGGGGAGGCGCGTCGAAAATCGAGAGTGACAGGGCAACCGAAACGCCGCCGAAAAGTTCCTCTCAAGAGGCACGGGCCGCGTGGACTCAAACACAGCCGCTGCGCGTCCCCGTGGCACACTCGTTGGAAAGTTGTTCAAAGCCACGAAAGGGCAGCCTGTGCCCAGGAGGTTTCTTTCTCAGGCTACACAGTACAATTTCCACTTCTCCACAACCAGCTCTCAGGATCCTTCAGCTTCCTGGGGAGAACAGGTTGCTGACTTCCGAAGGGGTCCCAGGTGGAGTGATAGAAGTAACTCGGTTAGTCAATTGAAGGTCTTAAATCTGTGAAGGCCTCCCATAGCCCTTGAAAGCAAGTGTCTACAAAATGTCCCGCCAGTTGCAGGCACTTGATTTGTTAGTAATGAGGAGCTAGAAATGGAATAGGAATGATGAACTAAAGATTGGGATCCTACGGGAATCTGCAGCTTACCTCTTGAACTAGATCCAAATCCACTGCTTCCAAACCCGAGTTCGCATTTTATTTTTTTCTTTATAACTCCTGTTTATTTTAATCTTTGTGCTGATGCCAAACAGCACTACTTTCATCACAAAGTTGGACTGTTCTCTATGTGGTTGAGAAGCCTGAATTTCACATTTTGGACAAAGTAAGCACTCCTTTAAGACAACATTAAAATTAGATCACAAACTCTTAATGAAGGATAGCAGTCATAGCAAGAATGTTTCATCTACAACGTTCTACTCATCTATTCCTAGTAAACATTTTTATACTATAGAGTGAATCTCATTTCAAAAACTTTTACCAGTGGAAATCTCTGTAGAACAAGTTTCCTGGGTATCAGGTTGGTTGAGTTGTAGAATGTGTATATTTTGGTGTACTGAAATACACATACAGAAATTGAATACAAGTAAGCTTCAGCTGCCTTTTATTCTTTACTAAGATGTATTAAATTCTTATGGGATACAGCAATTGCTCTCAAAAGTAATAATAAGTATACATATTTTAAATCTGTCATCACCATACTCTGATTTGACCAGGCTTTAAGGAATAGGTTTTGGTATGGTTAGAGATTTAGGCATATCCAAAGTACCATAGATTTTCCTATTGCCATTTTTATTTAAATGTTACTGAATGTTAAACTGAACCAACAATGAAGTCTTTGTGATTAAAACAAAATGCCATTTTGAAAAGCACAGACTGCTGAACTGGGAGGCCTTGGCTTGGGATGTGGGTGGGTGGTGGACCAGAAAAAGGAGATAGGGGTGTGCTCAGTCTATTTTGCAATCATGGCTGGGAGTCTCCTCAGCACCCTGGATATGATTTAAAAAAAAAAAAAAAACTCATTTGTAATAATAATAAGCAGTAATTTTATATGTGTGCATGTACATATGTATGAAAATGCAAAATAAATTATATTTAAAAATTGAGATTTATAGTCTATTTTAGCTCCGTGATCTGTTGACAGAATATCATTCTTGGTCTCTTCTTTTTTAATTAAACTGTTAAGTTTTCAGGAGAGTGTGTTTACATCTCAGGGTAGCATAGACTAGACTGTTGGGAGCTCTAGTGGTGTAGTGCCTAAGGCATTTGACTGCTAACCATAAGACCGGCAGTTCAAACCCACCAGCCACTGCTCAGAAGTAGATTGGGCAATCTATTTCTATAGAGCTGCTTCCTTGGAAACCCAAGGAGGAGTCACTATGAGTCAAACCACTTCCACGGCAGAGAGTTTGGTTTGGTTAGACTAAACTATAAACTCTGTGTGGGTGAATATTCACCAGGGCACATCAGGAGTTCTTTCAATATTCAATCAATAAAGTATGAAGCTACCTTCTGTTGTATGTCACTGGACCAGGACAGGTAACTAAAACCAGGTCAACATCGTTTTGGAGCTTACTTACTGTCTAGTTAGTAAGCACTTCGAAGTCAATAATACACACTTGTGGAATGAAGGAATTAATTAATGAAGGATGAATTCTAACATGGTTAAAAAACAGCAGTTTTGATGAAACTTAGTGTTTTCCTGCCCGATCCTGCACCAGCTCCATGATCCTTGCTATATTTGAGCCCATTCTCGCAGCCACTGTGTCAATCCATCTCGTTGAAGGCCTTCCCCTCTTTCGTCGACCCTCCACCTTACCAAGCACGACATCCTTCTCCAGGGAATGGTCCCTTCTGACAACATGACCAAAATAGGTGAGACGAAATCTGGCCATTCTCGTTTCCAAGGAGCATTTCAGGTGCACTTCCTCCAGGACAGATCTGTTAGTTCTTTTAGCAGTCCATGGTACTTTCAGCATTCTTTACCAGCACCACAACTCAAAAGCACCAATTCTTCTTCAGCTTCCTTATTCATTGTCCAGCTCTCACGTGCATATGAGGCAACTGAAAATGTCATGGCTTGTGTCAAGCCCTTCTTAGTCCTCAAAGAGACATGTTTCTACTTGAAAGAGGTCCTTTGCAGCCAACTAGCCCAGTACTATACATCATCTAATGTCCTGACTGCTGCTTCCATTGGCGTTGATTGTAGAACCAAGCAAAGTCAAGTCCTTGACAACCTCAATCTCTTCTCCATTTATCGTGATGCTGCTTATAGTAACAGTTGTAAGGATTTTTATTTTCTTTATATTGAGATGTAATACATACTGCAGACTGTATTCTTCAATCTTCATCAGTAAGTGCCTCAAGTCATCCTCACTTTCAGCAATCAAAATTTCGTAGTCAGCATATCACAGGTTGTTAATGATTCTTCTTCCAATCTTGTTGCCACGTTCTTTTTCATACAGTCCAGCTTCTCAGATTATTTGCTCAGCATATGTTGTTGTTGTTGTTAAGTGCCGTCGAGTTGTTTCCGACTCGTAGCGACCCCATGCACAGCAAAACGAAACACTGCCCGATCCCACGCCAGCCCCACAATCCCTGCTATA